CGTCCTTTAATTTAAATTATATATTATTTAATGGGGGTGAAAAGCATCACAATTTTGTTTTGTTTTCAATTTATGTTATGTAATTAATTATTGATCAGAACAAATGGCTGAAAATTTTCAAAAAATAATAATTACCATAGAAATCCATGTTAAAGAATTATTTTAAAAAAAAAATAATAGTATTCATCACAATTTTTTAATAATTTGTTATGATTGTTTTTTCCAATCCATTTTTAAATGGAATTTCTGTTATTGTTATGTATTTTGTTGTTGAAGCTTTAGCTTTTTTGATCATGGATGTCATTTACATCAAACAAAATGGTATTCTATGATATTTTTATGAACAAAATTTTGAAATATAATGAGACCTTAGAAACTAATGGTACAACAATTGCCATTTTCATGGATGTTTGACCCATTTTTTGTGCAAAAAGAAGTTCAGTAACCACTGTTATTGTGAAGATCAGTATAAAGCAGGTACATATACCCCGGCAGCTACAATTACAACAGATTTTATTGACTTAATGACGCTAACCTTTCGTTATGTAAAATTTCAAGATTTTGCAGTATCCTTTGCATTTATGACTTTGCTTGAGGCAGTTTCAGCCAAATTCAAATTTTCTTCTACTGAGCATGTTTCTGCACATAAATGCAATGCATTATGGGAGAAAACCTCCCATCATATATAATGGAAAACTAGTATTAACCCTGGAAACTCACTAAATTATGTAAATTTTATTCAAATGGTTTCACAATGTTAAATTTTATATCAATAATAATACAAGATTTTCCTTCCATGTCGCCAAGCAAAATTTCGAGATATGAATAAATAATCTCACCATAGAAACAAGGGACCTTTTTTTTTTCTTTATTTCCATTTTTTTTAAAAGTACGGACTCTTAATAATAAAAGTATGATGAAAACTACATATAATTTTGAATTGTGCTTGAATTTCCTTAGGCACTGTATTATTGGAATTGGTTTTATTCCATTCTAAATGAAATGTCTTAAATTAAAACCCAGTGAATAAATCTCGCATGGAATATACAGTTTCCCTTTCAGTAACCTATATTGTGAATACCTGCATCAAATCCACTAAAATTAAACCCAGTAAATAAACAGCTTTAATTTGGCGAGAAATATTTTCACGAGTCAGCAAATTTTGTCGTAATGAAAATTTTCAGATGTTCGATGACACAAAGTGTGAGTGAGTTTTGGAAAAAAAAATTCTTTACGAATGCCAGAAAATCCTTCAATCGTGAAAATTCCTTGAAGCAAAAATTAACAGATTTACAGGTTTTTTTTAACTAAAGTACATAATGGATACAATTAAGTTTTATGATTAATGCTTGTTTAATCATTCATATGTTTTTTTTCTGCTAAATTTGGTTAATTACATACATAATTGGTAATTACGCTCTTTATGGTTCAGTGAATTATTTAAACCAGGAAATGAGATGTTCTATAACTTTAATGTGTGACTGAAACTTATAAAAAACAAATTACAAAAGACATTAACGATACAACTGAAAGTCTCTTGGCAAAGCTTTGCAATATCCTCCTTGGAAATTAAGGTTATGTTGAAAATTAAAGCTGAGAGTATTCTATTCTGGTTTGTATTACTGAAATTTGTGATAAGTTAATTACCTGCACTGCAATAAAATTCTCTGGCTGTTCGATACCTGTAGGGGAAACTGATGTATTTACGGCCAAGAAAAATAAACTATTCGGTTCTGATAACATGCACTTCAAAAACTGGTAAGGTTAGTCAGATTTAAATTAAATTTGTTCGTTTTTTTTCATCGAACATTCTAAATACTGTAAATGTATTAATTATTCAGCTGGTTTTTTTTAGAAAATTGGCTAAATTAAATCCATTTGGGCGGGTAAAATAACAATCAAACTTAATGTTTTCAATAACGTAAAACCCGGTGAATATGCTCAAAATAGTGAAAATAAATGGTTTTACAGTAATACATGTTTATTTTCACTTGTCTTGTGATTACCTTGCACATGTCTTGGCAAAAAAAAAATACAGGGTAGACAATAAATTTTAGGTGGGGTAGGGTCATCAGAACCACACTGTAATAATCTATAGTTTAAATACGGATTTTGTTTTTAGAAACAAAGTCTTGCCAATTTGGCCAATATTTGGCCGAAAAAAGGTTTCTTGTAGGCTTAGAACCAAACTTATTTTTTAATTCAGCCTTTAATATATAAGCCACTGGTTGTAAAACTGGCAAAATTTGTTGTTACCAAATCAAATTTGTCTCTGGTGAAAGGTTTAAATAAATGGAGGTCCAGATATGAATTATTAAATTAATACTTCCAATATAATAACTGTAGAGAATACAGTTGTGTGCCAGTTCTTTATTACTGGCTGGTTGGCTGGCTGGCTGGCTGGCTGGCTGGCTGGCTGGCTGGCTGGGTATACAAGAATTTCTAAATTGTTTTTTAGTATTGCTTGAAGGCTCTATCACAAAATTTAAATTTGTTTGTAAACAATGCAATTGACAAGCATACTGTACAACATATGTCAATCACACTGAACACATCACAATAGAGTGACCACAGATAAAAAATAAATGTACTTTAATCTTTCTGTAATCCCTTCCAGTTTTTTTTTTTTTTAAATCACAAACATTTTTTATTGTTCTTACATTAGTTGCGTTCACGCACAGCTCCTTAGCACGGGCTAAGAGGTCAAATTCCTTAGCCCGTGCTAAGAAAACGTGCGTGAACGCTTAGCACGGGCTAAGGAATGCTAAGTACGGGTTAAATCTGATCCGAATTTAAGACGCGGTCTAGACCTTAGCACAGGCTAACAAAGTATGCGTGAACGCTTAGCCCAGGGATAAGCACCCTCTGCGGCGACCTTTGGGTGTGAAAATTGTCCCATGTTCGTATAACGGGACACTATTCCACCAGTCATTACTCCGCTCTCACTTCCACACTAATC